GACAAAGGGTCTGGCAACCTGCACCCTTGAATATGACAGTCAAAAAGCCCGGGGGCTGGCGGTACTCTCTAACGCACGGGCTGCCAGGAGGCAGAATCAACTCAGACACCAGGTGTGCGTTTTGATTTAAGAAAGTTCCTTGCTTCATTTTAACTGAAATAAATCTCAATACAGGGAAGTAGACTTCCAATGATAATCACTTCACTCACATACATGGTTGATGCTGAGTTAGGACCAATTATTGGCCAACGTATCTCATGGATATAGGAGGGGAGGGTAAAAAAAGGCATTATCAATGGACAACAGGAGTAGCTTGGAGAAGCCAACATTGGAAGCCGATTTCCAGGAAGGACTGGCTCCCTAACAGATGGTTGCGGAGGCAGTGACTTATTTACTGTGGCCCTTCGACCCACTCACTCAGTGGTTCTCCACCTTCCTCATGCCACCACCCTTTCATACAGGTCATCATGTAGGGCTGACCCACAACCATAACATTATTTTGGTTGCTACTTCATAAATGTAATTTTGCTACTGTTATGAATTGGGTGGCCCCTGTGAAAGGGTCATTGAACCCCCAAAGGGGTCGCGAACCATAGGAGTCCCAAACAACTTTCTCTTGCTTGTGTCTGGTAAGAAGGTGGTGGTGGGGGAGGTGGGGGAGGGTGGAGTGGGGGGATACGGATAGGATTCATCTGTGAGCAATTGGAGAATTCCTTGGAGTGCTATCCTGCTGCATATCCTCTGAGAAACAGGAGGAGGCATCTCCTTATCAGCAAAAGCCAGGAATGGAATGAGTCCTCTAGAACCAAGATTCCTGTGCAGGGGACCTCTTGGACCCGGAAGACAGCTACAGCATCAGAGGAGCAGTAGCAGAATGAGGAGTCAAAGCATGGAGTGGAGAGATGGGCCGCCTCCCAGCCCACTGACCAAGTAAAGCTCAGTGGTGTAATAGGTAGTTGGATAAGAATGTGATGATCAGGGGAAAGGATCAGAGTTGGACATAGACAGAAGGGTGTCCCCAGCATATAGGTGGTATTTAAAACCACTGGGCTGGATGAATTTACCAATGAAGGTGTGACGCTGGAGAAGGCCCTCCTAGGGACGGAGGCCTAGCAGAAAAAAAGGAGCTGCTGAAGGGAAAAGAGAAGGATCGCCAATGATAAAGGAGAAGGGAGGGGAAACAAACGGCTTCTCAGAGGTCTAAGATGAAAATGTTTCAGGAAGGAGAGCTTGGATGCTGCTGAGATGTCACGTTAGGTGAAATTAGAAAGCTGAGCATAGATGACAGCACAGGAGGATGGGATGTTTATGAGCAGTGATCTTGATAATGAATCTTTCCAGTGGTTGGTGGGAACCCAACTTCAACTGGAGTGGGTTCAGGAGCGATGAGAAGGTAGGAGGCTTACGGTATACAAGAATGTAGAAAACAGATGTGCGGATTTGTTTTGCTGCAGAAGAAAGCAGAGACATTGGAAATAGAAGAGAATTTGGGGTCATGGGATTTCATTATTTTTCTTCAGATATGTCATTATAAAGAAAAGAAGTAGTAGTGATAGAGAAAATAATGAAAAGAGAGTTGCTTTCCCCTGAGATTCCCTTTGAGATGGAAAGATTCCCACGTATAGCGTCAGTTTTGTCATGTTCCACAGTGTCGATCCAGGTGGTTTCAACTTGGAGACCCACTATGTGACAGAGCAGAACTGCTCCATAAGGTTTTTCAGGTTACTCTTACTGAGACCCCACTTTTGGCGGGAGAGGGTCCTACTCTAACTTATACTGAGCCTATTCGAGTGAGTCTATTCTGACGTATAAGGACCCTCCGGGACTGAGTGGAACTCTTGTGTTATGGTTTCCATTAAACACAGAGAGAAATACGTGCAGCCACAGCTTTCTTCCACTGAGTGTTGGTGGGTTTGGACCATGAACCAACCTTTCAGTTAGTAGCTGAGTGCTTTAATGCTGTCCAAAGCTTCCCGGATAGTAAATTATGGGCGTTAAATACTCTATGTTACACAAACAACATGCACACAATTCATTTTTGCCAACTGTGTTCATTTAAAAGAACATGCTAATTTAAAAAAACCTTGTTATTAGGTTGGTTTCTTTTCAAAAACCTTGTTATTTTTTTTAGAAGGTCATTTCAAAAGACATAAGGTCATTTCAAAAAACATGCTAATATTTTTCACATTATGTTGTAAGTGGCATTGAGCACAGAGTGGATAACACTATGGCAGATAGGTGAGTTTGGCAATGGAAAATGAAGTGATTCTCCCTTGATTGCCTTTTTGTTTTGATTTTGTTTGTTGTTGTTGTTGTTGTTGCTACTATGTTCATGTAAGCCAATTAGAAATAACCTTGATTTCTAATTTTTTAAATGTGATTTTGTAAGTTCAATAGAAATCTTACATTAGTATGATTGGGTTTATTTGCCTTGATTTCTTATAATACTGCAGACCAGTTATACTGAAAAAATGAGACTGTGGGGATTTCAGAAAAGCTGCAGAGATTTTAGACTCAGAAGACCATTAGAAAAACAATTTCTGTACTTCAAACAGTTGTTCCTCAAACTTTTGAAATAAGTAAAATTTTAAGATTGGGATTGTGTGCATTTCATTAGAACCAGTGGGAGGAAATGGCTGGCTGCATGAGCGAGAAGGTGGGGTTGGAGAGGGAGAGTAGTGAGTTGTTGTTGTTAAATTGTTGCTGTTGTTAGGTGCCATTGAGTGGACTCCAACTCATAATGGCCCTGCCTTCAACAACACAACACACTGCCCATCCTCACCATCATTCATTTGTTTGAGCCCATTTTTGCAGACACCGTGTCAACCCACCTTGTCAAGGGCCTCCCTCTTTTTCACTGCTCCCCTCCTTCACCAAGCAGGATGGCCTTTTCCAGGTACTGATCTCTCCTGATAACACGTCCCAAGCACATGAGACCAAGTCGCACCCTCCTGCCTCTAAGGGGCACTCTGACTTTTGCAAGATCGATTTGTTTCTTCCTTTGCCAGTCCACAGTACTTTTAATATTCTTTGCTAGCACCATAATTCAATGGATTCTTCTCTATCTTCCTTATTCAATATCCAACATTTGCATGCATAGGAGGCTACTGAAATTACCACGGCTTGGCTCAGACACACCTTAGTTCTCACAATAACATCCTTGTTTTTTAACATTTTAAAGAGTGCTTTTGCAGCAGATGTACCCAATGCACTGTGTTGTTTGAGCTCTTGACTGCTGTTTCCATGAGCATTGGTCATAGATCTAAGCAACATGAAATCCTTGACAACTTCAATCTTTTCTTCATTTATCATGAAGGTATTTATTGGTCTTGTTGTGAGGATGTGTTCTTGACTACCAATGTAAATTAATTTATGGAACTGTAGAGTTCATGCCTTAATAATCTCCCTAATTAATTAATCTTTGTAATCCGACTGAAGTCTAAGACCAAAGATCCTCATTGTGATTTACAATCCCACATATGCAAAACTCCAGAAGTTTTTTGTGACCAGAACATATTAGGCCAGGGGACATAGAGATGCTAGAAAATTGAAACACATATATTCCATTTTACAAGGAATGATATGGACTTCGAAGAAACTGCAAAGTGGTTTACCATTGAGTGAGATTCAAGAATAATTAATGAAGGATAGACTGTTTTCTTACAAGTGCTTAGCAAAGAACTTTCCTGGGGACTCACTTAATGCGCAGTAGATACATATTTGTTCATGTGACTAGCAACTAAAAATTATCCAAGTTATTCTGAAATTATTTGACTCCAAAAGACATTTAGATGCTTCTTAAAATTCAATATATCATCAGCATACATCTAAGGAGGACCTTCCAAAGAAAAGGACCTGAGTCTTGGGAGGCAAATTTCAAACGGAAGTTTCTCATATGCTTAGTTAAATGGTGGTATCCTTGAAGCACATGTAACTGCCTGACATTATTTTGAAGATCCTTGTTATGGTATTTTGATCCTTGTTATGATAGTTATGCTTTGATGGGGCACTTGTCAAAATATATAACCTTACTTTTTCCAGTCAAATATTGCATGGATTTCTCTGCTTCTGTCTAGCAATGATATTTGGCTGTAGATTAAGGAGTTTTCTATCAATACAGGGAGGCAGAGGAAGCTCACTCAGAATTAAGTTTTTTAATTTCAGCAATTGGATTTGAGTATTCCCATAAATCTGTGCTTAATTATATTTCTAGATTTTCAAAATAGAAGGTCCCAAGTGCTTTGGAAAAAAAGCATCATCATTAGAATCTGATGACCAAACATAAGAACAAAAACCAATCCGGAAAGACGCCCGCCATTTACATGTGTTGTCCTAGAGCAGCACTGATTGACTGTCATTATCTCATGAAGACACGGCCACCCTGCGTTTCAGGAACCCAGCGCCGTGGCGTCGAGTCTAACGCCTGGTGACCCTGATCGGACAGAGTCGAACTGCTCCGGAGGCGCTCCGAGGCTGCACACCTTTATCAAAGCGGAGCGCCTCAGCTTTCTCCCATGCAGCAGCTGTTCGCTTAGAACTTCTGACCTCTTGGTTTGCAGCCCAATGCTTAACCCACTGAGGCACCAGGGCGTTTGGAGTTTTTGGAAGGCTCACAAATTTCCTAAGGAATGGGTGACGAAAGGTCATAATTGAATCCCGTATAGTCCCAATTTCTAGGAAACTGAAACCCGCATCACCTGCTTTCAAAAAATATGCCAGCCTTTTATCAGCCAGCCCACACTTCAATGACTGTACATACATATACACACGTATGATATATACGTGCACACACATACGTGTATATGTATACGTGCACATATGCATGCAATGTGTATACAGGTGTGCACATATGCATGCAATGTGTATACAGGTGTGCACACATGTAAGCATATCTTTTGCGCATACGTAATGGAAGTAGCATTCTGCTATAAACTGGAGCGGGTTCCAGGTAATGGAAGTAGCAGGCGCGCTTGGAGTGTTTTGAGGTTTACACAACTTACGCAAACACGCCCTCGGGGGTCATTCGTCCCGCTTGAACTAAATGGGCTCCCAGCCGAAAGCCCGCCGCGTAGCTGAAATACACAAAGGCATGGCTGAACGCGTAGCAGCTTCCAAAAATCTGGGCTTTCTTCAAGGCGTTTCTGAAACACAACATTTAACAAACAACGGGCCATGAGATACAGTGAGGTCCATTTAACGAATATTGCAGAGTAGTGAGTGCAGAAGAATTAGACATGCTGTAATTTAGTGGATACATACATTTCCCTCTAAGGACTGGAAGAGAAAGTGGTTTTCTACTGCTGAGAATTATTCACAGAGAAAAGAGATCATAGAGTGATTTTTCGCCACAGCTGCTCCGTAGTTAAGTGCAGTCAAGTTTTATTTACAGACAAGAACAAAGAATGAGCAGTCAGTCTGTGAAAGACAGCTTAACAAGAGCTGGAGAGATTTAGTTTAAAGGTGTTTAGAAATGTTCTCTATTATAATTTTGCGTTCACTTAGCGAATATGCCGTGGACGTTAAATAAGCGGTCCTGAATGTAAACACGAGAACAAGAGTACAGCAGGAGTGTGCTGACCAAGTCAACAGAGAACATCACTAAACCAGCATGACAAGAAGTCCTGCTTTGAAATGAAAAGATGTGAGCAAATACATTGTGTACAGATCTGTTGTAAAATGTGGACTCTCGTAGGGATTTAATAGAGCAGAGCAATCTTCTTTTCTCTCTCAAAAAAGCTCCCAATCTCACTGCCCTGGAGTTGGATCTGACGCCTAGTGACCACAGGGCAGAGGAGAACTGGCCCTGGGAGTCTGAGGCTGCGCCTCTTCGCAGGAGCAGAAAGCCTGCCCTGTGTCCTGCGGAGCAGCTGCTGGTTTCAAACTGCTGAGCTTGTGGTTAGCAGCCCAACTTGTCCTCCACTATGCCGCCAGGGCTCCTTTTCCTCAGCGGTGGAGTAAGCTAGTTCCTCAGTCTTGTCTCCGGATCATTGGGAAACTGGCAGAGACAGGACTAGACTGGTAAATGTGGCTGAGCAGAGGGACCCAACGTTCAATACGTTCACCGGTAGCTATGTTTGCTCTGAATTCCTCCTTGAGCTGTTTCTTGGTAAAGTGGCAGGAGAGGTAGGACATGCCATTATTAGGGAAGATTCTAGGGCAGACGAGGCAGCGGGTGACTGTGTGGTGGGGGTTATGGGGATACTGCCACATAGAGTAATGGAAGCAGTAGGAATCTACAGTCACCTGTGCTGAGGCTGAAGCGTCTCATCATACATTTGTTCAAAGGCTTTTTCTCTGGTGAGTGACACGACAGTACGGATATTCTCCACAGCTTCAGTTGCTATCTTATAAAACAGGACAACACAATATATAAACAAAACGAGTAGTGATGAAACTTTTTCCAGTTGTGAATTCCAGTCAGTTACACTGGGGACATATTAAGAAGCAGCTCTGGCCAATCCTGACCCCCCGCCCCCCAAATCTCATTTCAAGATAATGAACTTAAATAACCCACACTCATTGCTGCTGATTCGATGCTGCCTTAGGACCAGCCCATGTGTGGTTGAGAAGAACTGCTCCCTGGGTTTTTCTTGGCTGTCATTTTCCTGGAAGTAGTTCTAGTGGCACAGGAGATCGACGGTTTGAACCCACACCATGGCTCTGGGGCAGAAAACTCGGCCAATCTGCTCCTGTGAAGGTTACAGCCTAGAGAACCCTCTGCAGCATTGTAATCCGTCCCGTGGGGTCGCTATGAGTTGGAATCGACTCAGTGACACCTTATCATCTTGATCTTTGTGGCAGCTGGGTACATTCAAGCCACCAACATTCAGGGCAGCAAACCCCCAACCAAGCTCACTGCTATTGAATGGATTCTGACTCACGGGAACCCTAGTGGGACAGAATAGAACTGCTCCTGTGGGTTTTATCCCACAGAACCCCTGGTGGTTTTGAACTACTGACCTTGTGGTTTGTAGCCCAATGCTTAACCACTGTGCCAACCAGGGTTACAGCTGCAAACTATTGGCCCCACCTCGGGACCTTCAAAATGACAGACCAAAGAAGTCTTTGTGTGTGCGTGTACGTGTGCGTGTGCGTGTGCTCCTGCTTTTTATAATCTGGGGTAAGTAACTAGCATTGACATTGCTGGGTCCTATGGTGGTTCCTTGTTCAATTAAAAAGAACAAACATTTTATTGAGGGCTCTTACAGCTCGTGTAACAATCCATACGTCAATTGTATCAATTACATTTGTACATATGTTCCATGATTGTTTTTTAGACATTTATTCTCTATTGAGCCCTTGGTATCGGCACCTAAAAAAAAAAAAAAGGGTCAACTCATCTAAGTTTAATCTCCTTCAATCTTTAAATTTTTTTATTTAAACTGGTCCACTAACTGGGAGAAGCTAATGACTGGAGAAGATTATGTCCATACATCGTCTTGCAAAGGAGCTCTCCTATAAGTTATAAGACAACTAGAAAAGAAGTTAGGAAAATCAAATAAACAACTATTTTATTCTAGTACCAACATGCAAATCATAACCAAGGACTCAGGAATAGGCCAGTGAAGTAGCCTGGGATGGGGCTAGAAGGTTTTTAAAAAGACAGAGTCTTTCTCAATGAAATGTAATTCACAGACGACCCATATTCATATTGTTTCCAACGAGCGTGAGTCACCAATTGGAGGGAAGATTTGTGGTTTAGAGTAAACGTATTGGACAGGAAAATGCATGCTTGTTTGAAAGAGAATCTTGCAGTTTTCATATTTTGTTTCCGGTCTGGGAGAAGGGGGCAAATTCAGATGGCAGGCAGTATTTGAAGGGGACCATGGTTACAAAAGACAACCAAACCTCGGGCCTGAGTTCACGACTCCAGGATTCTGCTCTCGACTTTGAGGTTGAATGATCTAAAGGCTCATTAGCTTTTCTACGTTCACGTTAGCTTTCACAACGAGCTCAGACACTTGTCGTTGTAGTAGATTTTGTAGTGTGCAAGGAAAGTGGACAAGGAGTACTGAAGACTGTGGACTGAATTGGACGCGTGGAAAGTGTTCCATTAGAGAATGCTTTGTTGTGTACATTTTTGCCACAATTAAAAAATGACAGTACTAATGAGTAAAAAGGAGAAAGTGTTCTAGAATCGCTGGTGGTAATGATTGTACAAATCTTCATATGATTGAACTATTGAATTGTATGATATATGGAAGAAGTGCCAATACAACGGAAATAAATCCCCCCTAAAAAAAGAATACTGAAGGAAAAAGTACAAAACAATTTCGTGATTACTTTTCAAAAAGATAAATGACCAAGATCATTACATAGCCTTAGAAATGTATACATAACTTTTTTAAAAAGGTAATGTGAGAGCATTTAAAACCTGAAAAAGAAAACATTGGCGGAGTTTTGCAAAGATACGCATGCAATGAAAGGACGTACGTCTACCATTTTCAATATACTAAACCGATGTTTGATAAATTGAAGATTGACTAAAAGCATTAGAAAAGGACTCAGAAAACCTATTTGATGGGTGTGACTGTTTGGATAATGTGATGTTACTCCAATAATAGCAAAGAAAACCCCACGTAAAAATGAAAAAACAAATAGGTGTTTCTTAGGGTGCATATGTGAGTAAAGTTCATGGCATAAAAGTAACACAAATAGAATCTCATGAGCTGGGGTCCCATTAACGAAGACATTTTGTAATGTATGCAACAGGGAGGTGACTATGCAACGTTTGACTGTCTCTGAGACCAATTTTTACCAAAGCCGTTCGGTCTGTACAGCAGTAGAAGACCTTTCAAGGGTCCGCATCCAGCGCAAGAAATGCGGAAAGGTTGAAAGGTTAGCTAAAGAAAATTACCATGAGTCATGTGCTTGGAGCCCTTACTCATGAATATTCATAAGACATATAACGTGCCAGCAGTGATACAGTCACGTTGCCACAAATCGTAAGTGAAATGACAATCTATTTTTGTTTTTTTCCTATCCAGATGATGGCTCTTCAATGTAGCAATATGGAAGGAAATGCTGAAAGGTTAAGAGAACCCTCGGGGTTTACATGACACAGCTTCTGCAGGGCTGTCTTGAGAAACAGGCTGGGGGGTCTTTAGCCAGAGTAAAGCCATGGAGATTAAGATAGCAGGCTAACTAAAAAACAAAAACAAAAATTACAAAGAGCTACCTGCCATTCAGAGCTATCTGAGGGTAGGTAATGCTTGCCTGCCACAGATTGGGAAGATGAAGGGGGATGAGCCGATGAGTGGCTGTTTGGGATTTCTACTTTGACTGAGGGGTTGGATCTTCCATTCTTGTATTTAAAAAAATTGAAATGATTTTATTGACTTTCTATGATTCATGTACCATACAATTAAATGGTTTAAATACATTATGAATCTTTGGTTCTCTCAGATCTTAAAATTCCACACGGCAAATATTTCCCTAAACTCCAATTGAACAATGACTTACATGTAAATATGTTTGATCCAGATAAACAACTGTCAAAGAATTTTAAAAATAATTACATTGTTCATTTTGACCAGTATAAAAATGGTTCTTGTCTCTAAAACCTTGTGTTAGGCTCTTTCTATAAGCAGTGTGTTGCCTTCTATTCAGAAACGATTGCATTTCCCTTTTATTTTGAAAATTAAACGACTCAGTGCAATGATTTTTTCAGGCACATGTGATTATTCAACAACCATAGCATGAGAAAAATTTCCCATGATGCAACACAGTCATAATGGTTAGAGCTATTGAGTGTTTACTGTCTTCCAAAGGTCTGTGGGTGATGTGAATGGTTTATGTGCAACTGCTGGTCTGAAGGTGGGTGGTTTGAACCCATCCAAAGGCCTGGTGAAAAAAGGCCATGTGCTTCTATAAAACTCAGAGCCAAAAAAGCCACGGAGAGCAGTTCTTCTCTGTACCACACGGGGTCACCAGGAGTTGGTATGAACTTCAGGACAGCAGGTTTTTGTTGTTCACTGTGTTCCAGATACTCATAATTGTGTGCATATACCAATTCTGGAATTTTGCTCACTCTTTACCAAAAAAATGTGTAAGTGAATACTATGCTTCCTTCTACTTTACAGACAAGGAAACAAAGGTCCAGAAAAGTTTAAATAACTCGCTCATATCACATATATGCTAGATATAGACTCTGAATGTACTGTAACATATCGAGCACAGCATCTTCAATGGCTCTGAGTGCCTCTTGGTCTGTCTATACCTTCTACAGATGCCTAAGGGATGAAGCCAACACATAAAGATGGGCGCCCTGATTATGTTTTCATCTTAAAATATGCACGACGGTAAACGAAGTCTCCCTCTACCTTTCCAGCACGCTTAAGCTCTTGCTTGTCCTTGTTGGCAAACCCAGTCATTGCTGTGGTTTCAATGATTCCTGTCAGAGCAAGTACCGGAGCAGTAATCAGAATCAAGAGTGTCATCTCCCATCCATAGATGAAGGAAACAATAACCGAGAGTCCCATGCAGGTCGCATTTTGTACTATGGCACCAAGTCTTGAACCTGTGGCCTATAATCAGAAATATTTTGGGAAAAAATGAGCAAGTTTTACTTTTACAAGAATTCCTATTATAGGTCCATACAAAACCAAAGCAGGTCTTTAAAAACATGTATTTGTACTTAAACACATTTATACTTATATTCTTTGATTTACACTTCAGAATTAAGTGATGCACATATTTTTAAATGCTCTCTACTAAGAAACGATTACACTTTATTTTGCTCCTTTAAATACTTTATGATTGAAATATTAAATTGCATGATATGTGAAACATGTGCCAATCAAACTATTCAAAATGAAAAAGCAATACATTACTCCCAAACCAAACCCATGCCGTGGCATCAGTACAATAATGGATAAAAGCCTTGGTGTTTAGTGTAGAAAAAAAGAGTAGCTGCAATTCGCTACAACTCCTTGATAGGGAAACTTGTGGTGTTCTTAAGGAGTTTTGCAAAATTTTACATTTGAACTCAAATTTAGTGTCATGAAATATTGAAGTTGTAGGGTTCTTTTTCCCTTTCTTCTTCCTCTTCTTTCTTAAATGAAAGATACACAATTACACTCTTTCTGTCTCCCCAAACTTCACCAAATACCCAACAATAATAACAATACATATATATGTATACACATGGGACTATATGCACACACACACACGCACACACAATCTAGTCCACCTAAATTATGCAACTTAAATGTAAATACAGCTGCTTCTCTTTGATGGTTATAGATAAACTCGTGGTGATAAAGTTGACATTTGAAAATAGCAGAATCAGGGTTAATGTGAAAAAAAAATGAACTAGAAAAGAAGTTAATCTTAAGCATTTTTCATTGTTTACTGTTCGTAAAGTTGTCACTTTTGCTAGGAATTTTATGGGAAATTAAACATTTAAATAATGAATAGCATTTACCGTGCCAGTTTAACATCCATGCATAAAAGTGTTTGTAAAAGATGACTTGAGTTATGCATGTGAATTTTTTAATGCAGGTTTTGCATATTTTATCTCATGGATGGTAAAAAGGAAGAGAAGGGGGAGGTTTTAGCTTTCATACAGGCCAAAAATAGAATCTAATTTGATTTCAGTAAGATTCTAGGATGAATGATCAATTCCTCTATGAATGGGAAAAAAACCCAAACCAAAAACCCTGTCTTACGGAATCTGTGAAAAGAAGATTCTGGTAGAATTTGCACATTTATCTTTCAAGTGAATTCTCCCCATTGGTTAAGATATCATAGCCATGCATGGTTACAACTCACAGCCCCTGAATTCAAGCTCAGGGCTTTTAACGATGAAGCTTTGTGTTGGTGAGACAAGGCTTGAGATGTAAAGAGGAATGAGCCTGGGGCAGAAGTGCAGGTAGACTGGAGGAGGCGTGGCATAGGCGAAGGGATAAAAAACAAATGTTGGTGACCTAAATCTTCATGGTCCCAGTTGTAGCAGATATACAAGACAAGCCTTTAAGACCCCAGATGCTATTTTATCTGCTAACCAGGAACCATCGAAATTCTTCGCCACATTTTTCTATAGCACCCCTGTATCTTGTGGGTTCCCTTCCTGAGGGTAAGTATTGAGCAGGGCCATGATGTAAGAACTTATTGTTCTTAAGTTGGAGCTAGGATTTAATGCAAGCCCTAAACCCATTCCTGGATCTATCCATTTTTTTTTCATTTGTTGTAACTTGGGAGTTAGTATATTTGTCATGTCATTTCCTAGTTCAATCAGGTCAAACAGAATTTTACAATTACTTCCATAATCAGCCTCCAAACATACTTTTCCTTCCTGGACTTCTTGACATCATCTCCCTCTTAGCTCTCCCACCCCTCTAAGTGAGATGTCAACGAAGTCCTCATGGAAGAACCACATCATCATCAGTCACTGAAGGATTGGAACCCATATGATCGGAAGTCAAAGAAGGCACCAGTATCAGAGCCTAAATTGTGAGAATCTGCTGTGCAGAAGGGAATGGATGACAGTGGGAGCCCAAGATTCATTTGTGGAACTACTCAGGAAATAAGCCTCTGGAGAACTCCCCGATTTAAAATTGAGGGATGGGAGGGAAGGGGTCACTAAAGAGAGCGCGCTTGGGAGAGAGGAGTATAGAAGATCAAAGGCATAAATCTGACCTGAACAGTTAAAACTTTGTTAGTAGATCCCCCTATGATGTGGGCTGGATCTGATCTGGTTTCCAAAATTTTCTGTATTTTTGGTTTGAATTGTTTTCTTTGTTTTTTGTTTGTTCATTTTAGCGTGTATCTCAGAGGTGTTATGTCAATGGAGGTCACTGTCTTGAAGCTGTGGTGTATGCTTTGCTTGTCTGGTGTTTTGGTATATGAAACCTAGGACTGATGACCCTAGAGGGCCATCAAGTAGAGTTAAAGGGTTCAGGGGACGGGGGTACAGTGGTGGTGGTGGAGCAAAAGGGAGACGGTGTCAAGGAGTCCATGTAGAAAAAGATGGTTTGGACACCGATTGTGGTAATAATTGTACATTCTACTTGATGTGACTGAAATATGGAAGGATATCTGTATTAAATCCCAACTAATAGTTGTTTTTTTTAAAGCAAAAAGTAGGCAACTTTTACTGTGCTCTAAGGGATCTCTTTAGCTCCATTATCTCATTGAATTTGAACACATGGCTGAGACAACATTAACTAATGCCATAATACAGATGAAGAGACGGAGGCAGAGAGATGAGATAAGTGGCTCATAATCATACAAATCATACCAGGTGGGATAAAAAGAACAAACCCTTTGTTCTCTGAACTACTGAGCAGTAAATTGCTGCTGTAATGAATGCTCCCTGGACTCCAGCAAACTTTGTGTTCGTCTTTGATTTCCTAATACTAAGTGCATAGGGTCACTGCGTTTAAGGGTCTATTTTTGCTTACTACCTGGATTGATATTGCGAACTTGATGCTGTAAAAGATGATACCAATTTGTACCCTCACATGACACATTTCATTGAAATATCAAAAAAAAATCATTCTCTTTTAAAATAACAAGACTTGTTAATACTTCTGTGGAATTGAGCATTCCTCCTGGACTAGGAAACTTTGCCCCACATTACAGTCAAGATTAAATGCCCCTATAGGGCACAATTTAAAAAGGATCCCTGGTAGCATAGTGGTTATGCACTGGCCTGTTACCTGGAAGGCCAGCAGTTGGGAACTACCAGCCACTTTTTAGGAGAAAGATGGGACTTTTTATTCCCATAAAGAGTTACAGTCTCAGAAACCCACAGGGCTAGTTCTGCCCCATCCTATAGGGTTGTTATGGGTTAATATTGACTCTGTGACAGTGAGGTGTTTCATATATGTCTGTCTGTCTATCTATCTATCTATCTATCTATCTATCTATCTATCTATCTATCTATCATCTACACACATACACACACACACACACACACACACACACACACGGACTCATTTACAGCCTTGGCAATCCTAGGGGGAAGTTGACTCTATCCTACAGAGTTACTCAATGTTGGCATGGACTTGGCAGCTGTGATTTTGCTGCTGTCTGATGACCATAGATACTAATATGACTGGGTGGCGCCACAGTGTAAGGACTCCACTGCTAGTTGAAAGATGGGAATGTCGGAGACGTCGGATAGTGTACGATATGACAAAATAATAATTTATAAATGATCAAGGGTTCATGAAGGAGGCGGGATGGGGGAGGGAGGGGGAAAATGAGGAGCTGATATTAAGGGCTCAAGTAGAAAGCAAATGTTTTGAGAATGATGATGGCAACAAATGGATAAATGTGCTTGACACGATGTATGTATGTATGGATTGTGATAAGAATTGTATGAGCCTCCAATAAAATGATTTATATATATATATATATGGTGGGAATGTCAAACTACCTAGATTTGCCCTTGTTATTTGGTTTCAAAATATCACAGTCTTGGAAACTGAATATCGAGTGCAGTTGTGATCTGTACACATGAGGACACCCTGAGTTGGAATGAAATGGATGGCAACTAACAATACAAACATCATAGTCAGAAATAAAGTTTAAAAATTGGAATCAAGTTTTGTAAACAAAATATTTTGTTTTAAAAAATAAATTTCATTTAAATATTAATAAAAAATTAACCTGCCATCAATTGCTTGATATATTCCTGTCAGATTGATTTCTAGTAATATTTAGCATGGATGACATATACATATATATTTTTTATATTTGTACTTGATAGGCTGTATAAATATAAAAACATATAATTACATTACATTTACGTAGTCCTCAAACTACGGCCCGCGGGCCACATGTGGCCCGCCGAGGACATTTATCTGGCCCACCAGATGTTTTTGCCCCATTTGTTTTTTAACTTTCAAAATAAGATATGTGCAGTGTGCATAAGAATTTGATCATAGTAGTTTTTTAAACTAGTCCAGTCCTTCACTGGGTCTGAGAGACAGTGAACTGGCCCCCTGTTTAAAATGTTTGAGGACTCCTGCTTTAACTAATCATAACACAACTTGTTGTAGACCAAAATAAGACTTTGCTTTGATGAAAAGGCATAGTGAAATGTACAGGAAAAACAACGCCTTGTGATTTTTTGGAACTTAGCTTCCCAAAGAACAAAAGTGACATTGTCCTTTGTAGAAAACAAACTTATATACAGCAACTAAGCTGCTGACGGATGGACTGACAATCAGCCATGACCTTGGACTAAAACAATACACATTACATCGGATGCAGCAACTATCCTAGGAAACATAGTGCTCTATTCCCCTATTTCACTTGCATGTTTTTTTTTAATCATGATTGTCAAAGTAGCAGGGCTTCTAAAGATGTCCGGGGGCATGTCTTTTGACTTAATAAGGGTTTTAAAATAATATTTATTTTTATTAAAGAGGCATTTTTATGTTGACTCTAATAATTGGTTGTTTTACCTCTTAAATGCAGCAACTTTACAATCAGCTATCATTGTTGCAGGCTTTTATTCTCTTGCTACTACTTTTCATTCAAAGAAAATGGTTTGATTTACTCAGAAATTATTATG